CCCCAAAACCCCAAAACCCCAAAACCCCTTAGATTGATTAATATCTAAGTCAATTATACAAATTTTCTAAATGAGATAATATTAACTAATTACTAAAACTAAAATAAGTTAAAAGAGATTCTATTCTCTCATAAACATCTACTCATATTAGAGGAAATCTATTTCAGACTAAAATCATCTCATCACAGGCATCTTTCCTCTCCAAATAAAGTTCTTCCAAATAATTAGAAATTAGCATTGGCCATTGCAGCTTCACTATAAAATCATTTACCCATGAGGGTGTTAATTTTTCTCTCTAGCCTTCATTAGCTCTCCAGGTCATCAAATAATAAATATTACCACCGTCCTCATTTATTGAGACAATCTTTTCTGGAATATCTGAGTGTCTGAAAGGAGAACCTGGTCTTTCTGTCCAACAATGTGATCCATTCTCCTTTCTTGTGTTCATTGACTTTTCGAAATCAATTAGAATGAATGAAAATGGCTCAATTTCCATCTTTTCCTCAATATTTTCAATCACTTTAACTTTTTCATAATCAGTTTACACTCCTTATGTAATAAGTCTCAAAGCCTATTAATTATTTTGTCCATTAATCAATTGATTTTTATATACATCAGAATTAATATTCTCATTTATCTGCTGGCTAGTATATTTAGCTAAATTGGGACTTGGATTAAAGCAGTTATTCAGTAAAGTTATTTCATGATTTTCAGGGTTAGTAACTGCAATATCTAGTTGTTAATGAGGATTCTAATCTGAGTTTTAAGCTGTAATTCCTTTTTAGAGTTCAACATTTAAAGCAGGCTAAGTGATTTTTTATTGATTAAGGGTTTAAATATTTTTTTGCTAATTAAGGCCATTAGAATACTAATTTTAAGGGAATCTAGGAGTGTTTAATTGATTACTATTAGAGTTATATTGTTATAGCTAATGAATCTAAGGCGGAGGTGGACTAAATGAGCGATCTGGCCTTTAATTTTTGCTTCTTACATTACCCTATTCTCTAAGATAAGTTTTGTAGTCTTTTTGGTCTTTTGGATGTTTTACTTAATCATGATATGGCGATTTATTATCATTTTACTAGAAACCATGATTGAATCTGTTGTTGTTATTTTTGTCATTTTAATACTGATTGAACTTTGGATTAGCGTTTTGATTTTAATGGTAATTGCTGTTTATTGATGGCTATTGGTGATATTAATTCTGAAAGTTTCCTGTCTTCTAATTATAGTCTCTTGATTGAGGTAGATATCTTTAATCTTTGTTATCGAAAGGTGAACGAGGCCTTTACTTATTCAAACTAGAATTTAACTATAGATCTCTATTTTATAAATCCTTATCTTTGCTAGGTTAAAACTAGAATTGCTGATTGACACTTGATTGCTTTTCATGAATAGGCATAATCATGCTGCTCTATTTCTTTGGTGAGTTTAATGGTTTACTAACTGGCTGAGTGATATTCTAAATTATATTAACTCTTGGATCTTCAAAGTACGTCTTGGAGTCATTCCCTTTTTAGATAATTTACTCTGATCCCATATTTGATATTTTCTAATCCTACTTACTTTGTTGATGATTAGACTACTATTACTTCTCATTCTAGAATATTGCATTGGGCTTAGGTTTGATCTGCATAAATTTACTATCAATATGGCTAGCCCTTCCTTAAATGGCAGCATCATCTTGCATCATTCTCTTTTTCAATTCAATGTCAAGATATTAAGTCTATTGAATTTTCTTATGATCTATTTCAGTCTATTGAAATTCTATCTCTAAGACACCAAAGACCCTCTAGTCTTTCTCATTCTTCTTCTCCTCCTCTTACTCATTGTCTGTCTCTGGCCTTGAAGCAAAACTCTTCTCATTCTTCTTGGATTTTCCTTGAACTGGTGTCTTCTGATCCTTTTAAGAATGTTATTGAGTTTGGCAAGGAGTATTCTTCTTGCTTCTTGCTTTAGGTGTTGTAGATTTGCTGACAGCTTGAGAGTTTTTACCTCTAGGTCTTCCTTTTCCCTTGCTCTAACTAGCTTTTTAATCTCTCTCACATTCATCATCTGTTTGACCATTGTCCTTGATCTTTTCGATAGTGAGTGCACCTCTTGAACCCTTTTTCTTTATTACTCTATATGAGAGTTTCTTGAAATAAGAGTCGATCATTTAAGTTAAGTCCTCATATAAATCTGTTGTCATAGGCTCCCAAGTATTTTCAGAAGCATCATAATCCAGCCATTTTATATGCAATTCAATCCTCTTGTTAACTTCCCTGTGCTCAACAATCTTTTCAACATCAAATTTTGATTCATTCATTGTGCAATCTTGCTATTTTTAATTATGTTAATTTAATTCTGACCAAATCTTAATCTTTAGTTATCCAAAAAATAAGGTATTTTGTAAATTGGGGTTTTGGGGTTTTGGGGTTTTGGGG